GGAAGGGCTGTTTCTTCCATTATACCCAATGTATTTGGCGAAGAACTCGGTGGTGTGGTCTGCAACGGCAGTATGGTAATGATGAAGAAATAACCCGATTTCTCCGAAGGTGTGCGGTATTACACATGGTTCCATACGATATGGTGGGGGATGATTTAATCAATGCCATGGGTGATATGCCAGACGACCCCAGATTAGTAGAACTTGCAGACTACGTTACAAGTCAATGGTGTGTAAAGAAACTTGTAGGAAAAGCCCACCCCAACATATTCGAAATCATTAATTTCCTGAAAGAAGAGCAAGATGCCATGGAAATAAGGATGGTGCAGTATGCGGTCTTGTATTGTAGACATACATTATGGAAATAGTTCGAAAATTCAGCAAAACTTAATTCATAAAACTAAGTTATAACTGAATCAAAATACTTCAATACTTTTCATTGGTAGTAGTGAAGAAAGAAAAACTGAAGTAAGCATCTCAGTGTGACTATAAAAAAAAAAATGATTTCCACTTTAAGGGAGATAACTCCTCAAATTATATTTTAAAATGACTTGACTCATTTATCTCTAATAGCTTACAAAGAATACTTTTTCATAGTGCTTTTAAGTGGTTAAAATATCGGTTGTATCCTCACATAATAGTGATTTGGTTAAATTAGTTTCTTTCAGTCGTTTGAAATCTAGGTTTATTTTGTACCGAGTCATTCCAGAATATTATTATTGATGAACAGGTCTTATGTCTCGATTTCAACTCTAAGGGGCATAACTCAAGGATAACAATATTTTAAATAATGTTTGTGATTTTTTATATTGGAAAATTGTTTTACTATTAATTTAAATAGATATAAAATATCACTTTTAAAATTAAGTAAATAGGATTAATACAATTATTTCAAGTAACAGTATTATTAATAAAAGCTTTGAAGGGACAGTTTCACTATCCTTTATACCAATCTTACAGTAACCTCAAAAATGCTTAGATAAGCTAATCAGTAATAGAGTTCACAGCTCATCGTGTAACTTTAAGTCTTCAAAACAATGTGTCTAGAATTATCTGCGCTTGGAAGTTATCATGAGACTGATATATATATATATAGAAACGACATATGTATATAGGGATAGAAATAGAAATTTCTACCTGAGATATTCAAGACCTCGTTATATATATCAAACCACCCTCTCCCTTTTTTCCATATAAAAAATCCCTCTTCAGAGGTTCAAAATTCTTATTACCCCAAATATATTTAAAAAAACAAGAATTAATAACCTTAATAAACTGTACAGGAATATCTATAAACTGTGAAACGTACCATAACTTTCTCAAAGCAAAAGTATTTACAACAACCCCCTACCAAAAGTAGAAAGGTCTCTATTCTCATATGAATGAATAATAGCTATAATTGAATTAAAAATTTTATTAATATTATCCTCTGGTGAAAGAGACCTACCAAAATTAATAACTAAAATACGTTCTGAAGACGTCCATGAAACTCCACAAGTCTGATCACATACACTAAAATCACCAAAAGTAAGAACCTTAGTCTTTGACTTGTTTAATGAAGCACCAGAGCCCTGGCCAAATGACTCATAGATATCCAGAACTCTACCAACACTTGGCAGAGTCTGAACATATACCCGTTACGTCATCGGCATAAGCCGAGACACGGGCCTCCTCATTGGAACCAGGGATAGAAATTCCTCGTATATGTGGATCAGACCTAAGACGTATCAAGAACGGCTCCAGAACTAAAACATAAAGAAGGGGGCTAAGAGAGCAACCTTGATGGATACCCCTGGTTAATAGAAACGGATCCGTTCTAAAGCCATTAACCAAGACAGAGCTGTATGTATCCGTATAACAATTTAACCCAATTAATAAAAGAACTGCCAAAATTATATTTTTCCGAACAAGCAAAGAGGAAATCAAAATTAGCTTTACAGGAATCGATTAGACACAAGGCAAGTTTAGAATCTTTTTGTTTAACATAATCAATTAAATTTCGAATCAAGTGTATATTTGTAGAAATACTGCGACCAGGAATTGAACAAGTTTGATCCGGATGAACGATTTCCTCTATCACACAACTAAGTCTTCGTTGAATGGCTTTAGAAAGGATCTTAAAATCTACATTTAAAAGTGATATTGGTCGCCAGCAACGAATGTCTGACTCACGAGATCTGTCCTTACACAATAGGGTGATGACACTCAATCTCTGTGAAGGGAAAAGTAAACCATTTATAAAACTAGAATTATATAAATTAATTAATATAGGGCCGAAAATGTCAAAAAAGTACTGTAAAATTCTTTAGTAAAACCGTCCAAACCAGGACTTCTATTTGACTTAAAATTGTCAAGGGAAGATTTTATCTCCTGAAGAGTTATCTCCCCTTCACAGAGATCCCGAGATTCGTCACCCAACTTGTGGAAGGTCAGCAATAAAATCAAACCTGATTTCTCGATTGATGGGTTCACTAGAAAATAAATTAGAATAAAAGTTAGATGCAATACGTAGTAAATAAGGAGAGTCGGAATATAATTTTTGGTCTATGGGATCTAAAAGGCTCTGTTAGCCTCCTTCTTAACAAAATATTCAGAAAGTTTTTCATTATTGTCTAGATCCTGAGCCCTAGACCGAACAACATTACCGTGGTCTTGATTAATATGAAAATTTAAAAGTTCTTTTTTACAACAGTTCAGTTGCTCGATGTAGGACCCAGGATCCAGATTCTCCACTTTTTGTAAAAAGGAAAAACGTTTCTCTACTTGTTTCCTTAAAAAAATTCTTATTCCTGGCCTTCCTTTTGGAGTAAAATACAATAAAATCCTTCATATCTTTCTTACAACTATCCCACTGCTCCCCAGTGAGTATGGACTCAAAATAAAATATAATTTACAAAACTGTCTAAATTCTAAAACGAAATCAGAATCATCGAGCAATGCGATGTTCAACTTCCAATAACCAGGACCTATCGAAACAGACGAAGATAAAGAAATTGTAATCAAAACAAAGTCATGGTCAGAAATTGAACAAGGCAAAACTCGATGACTCTGAATAAACTGAGAGTATCTTCCAGAAAGATAAAACCTATCTATTCTGGTAGAAACTCTCACCCCCTCCAAGTAGTAACATCGACAAGAGAAATCATTAATAATACTTGATAACTGTACACAACCCTCACGACCAGCGTTTGGGTTGCCACCAACTTTATCTACACTAGGGTTAAAAACACAATTAAAATCGCCGCCTAAAATAACAATATTAGAAGATATACAAAATTGATGAATATAACTAAAAAAAACTCACGCCTCTCTGTACAATCTACAGGAGCATACACACATAAAAGACGAAATAAAACATCTCTAATTTTTACATCAATGAAAATAAATCTACCTTGAAAATCATATTGAAATTTTAGAACAGATTTAATCTAAATTTGTATTATTTAAAATTCCAACGCCACATTGCTTATTACTGCCAAAACTCCAAAATGCTTTATAGTTGCCTAAACTTTCGATAATCTTTCCTTGCTCTACCGTCTCAATATGTGTTTCTTGGAGAAAAATAACATCTGTTTTAATAACACTAATTTCATTAAATAAAATTCGTTTCCTTCTTTCAGAGATCATCCCATTGCAGTTAATTGAAATTAATTTTAAGTTATTCACACCCTCCATTGTTGGATTTTAAAGTTTTATAACAAAGAAATATTACTGTAGCAGGAGGTAATGTAGGGCAGTTATTTCTGACCAAAAACCCCCAACCCAAATATCAATTCTGTCGTGTCTCAATACACCAGGAGTTCCAGGTTCTTTCAGGATACTGTGATCTCAATGGGAAGTAATAAATAATTAAACAAAAACACATTTATTAACTCAAGACAAGACATCACAGAACAAATTTCAAACAACACTGGATTGATGAAATGCCATAATGTACAAAATAATCCGGAAACTCCAACTTCCGGTTCGTATCAAATTACTGTACATTAAATATGCCACCTGCTACAATAAATAACAAAATAAACATAACACAAGGCTCTATCTAAAACTACAAATAAAAAACAATCAACAACAAATAGTATCAAAAATAATTACAGTAAACTATTTAAATAAGCAAAAAAAACATGGTACTTATGAAACAAAGCGTCTTAGCCAACAAGTGAAAAAGGGAGGCCTGGAGGACGGGATAATGACCAATGAAAACGAATAAAAGCTCCGCGAAGTAATATAGAATCAAAAATGAGCGAATGACCGAATCCGTGAAGCACTACATATTGCGAAAACGATGTTACAATACTTAATCATAATAAAATAAGAAAATTTTGCTTCAAGTACCTTACCGGATAAATCAGAATAAATAACAAGCATATCGGTTCACCCTCCCCTACAGTTTGCTCAATGTGATCTTGCACTTCAACCGGGACTTCCTCCCTCTGCCGTTCTGACAATTTTTAAGCGTATGTGGGGGGCTGGTTGAGCTTTGGGCATTCGCCTCCCTTGTGTCCAATACACCAGCACCGTAGACACAAGGGAAGACGACCTCTTGCCGTTAGTAGGGCCTTGCAGGTTCCATTATAATATGTCAACATATGCGTCACCTCGCCAAAGTTGTTATGAGATAAAACCACATGTCTACTACTCTTATCCCATTTTTGAAATCTTGATTCTCAGATAACCGCTCGTAAATATCAAGTACTTTTCCAAATTGAGTGAAGATCTTCTTCAGGAAAGAGTCTTTAAACGAACGAGGTAGCCAATGAACAGAAAACTGAACCCTTCTCAACTTATTACTCCCAAACATTATTATACTACCATCAATGTTAACCGGGTCAGCTTCTCTCAACCTCTCTGCATCTGCACTACTTTTAAGGGTTACTTCATACTCCCTAGACGAAAACGACTTATTGCTTCCACCCCTGCTTCACCCAACGCCCTCGTAACTGCTGTGTATTCCACGATCAATATCATCATCAGCCACGTCCATCTCAATTTCCGTCGGTATGACAACAAAAACGTACCAAAAACCAAAAGAAACACCGTCCGGGAGGATCAAGGTTTCTCCTGTACCAGGTAAGTATGTCGAATTAAGGAGGTATGCTGAGCCATGTAACATACTTAGAAAATATTTAGACTGGTATTATTCATTAACCCTCTATGATCCGAAATGGCATTAAGCATAAATTGAATAACAACACTCGCAAAAGAAATGTGGCCCGTACATTTTTCTTTGTGTTCGGTCCAGATTTAGAATTTTTGGTCCAAGTCGATATTTACCCATAACCAAAATAAAATAGCTTTTCCCCCAAATAAGAAAAAAAAGCGCAAAAACTCTTTGTGGGGCCCAAATCTCGCGAAAAACTGTACAAGATGAAGGGGAAGCTCCAAAGAAGTCAGATAATATAAAAAAGGTTAAATATCGTATAAAGAAATTTCTTGTAATAAGGAAAATCTTTGGAATCAGTACCGGAACTAACTCAACCTAAGAAGTCTCAATGCGCATCATCAACTTCTTCGACAATCGAATTGAACATCAAAACACAACTGGATGAATTAAAACTAAAAAGGAATAAGAGGCTTTATCCAAGAAACGTTTCCTGGAAGAATTGCAAGGTTGTGAATCACGCCCAAATCATTCCTTGTTCAAAAGAAGAAAAATCAATGAAGGAACAGCTAAATATATGGAGGATGTTTCTGTACAACTTGCAGGTAAATTTAATAAACCAAAGAAGATATTGCCCAAACGGATGAAGTGACTTCAAGAAATCAAAACCAGAAGTTAAAGTTTCCTTAAGATTTGTTTATAGACACAGGCCATCTCATATCAAGACGAGTTATCAACAGACCTACAGGCAATGTGAGATTTGTGTAAATGTTGATTTGAAGCTAGATGGATTGAACCATCATCTTGAAAATGGAATTGATGGGCGGGATGTGGCCTCTGAACTTACTTTTATGTAAATCACCAACGTTAGAATGCTATAATCGATCTTGTAAAAGATGTGGAACCAGTCTAATCAATTCTTAAATTTCTGACAATTTAACCAGTTCAAAAACCACCGCTGTTAAATGGTTTACGTGGGAAGTCGTCACCAAGAATAAAGGTACCAGAAGAGAGAAGGTCCTGAAAGAAGGGATTTAGAAGAACTTGTCACATCTCTTTGTCTAGATCTGCAGAACTATTCCAAACACGATTTTGTACACAGATGGCAGTTTAACCAATATAAGACTCTACTAAGTCAATTACCATCCATTAAAGCCACATCAGTTGTTTGTGATTTTGCAGAGAATTATCTCTGCAAATATCAAGATGAGGTGCAATCAGCCCACTGGGCATACAACCAGACTACAGTTCATCCTACCGTTCTTTACTACCCATGTACTAAATGTAAAGAATTGATCACCGATTACATAATCTTCTTGTCAGATGACCTTCAGTAATTTTGAAGGAAACTAGAGATTATGCTGCAAATCTTGGAATTGAGAAATTGATTGTATGGTCTGATGATTGCTCTGCTCAATATAAATCTAAACTGCCATTTTATTTTGCTGCTGGAGCACCTGATGAGCGAGCTTACTTTGGTTCTCGTCATGGGAAAGGACCATGTGATGTCTGTGGTGGTGTTGTCAAACGAATTTTAGATGATGATTTCATGTCTGGAGATGTAATAATACAGAGTGCTGAATCCATGTACAATCATCTAAGTACATTTTATGGAATTCCAAAAACAGTCTCATACTCGCACTCTTCGGTCGTTCAAGTTGATCCAGTCAAGTGATATTAATCGTTCGTTCCCATCGTCTGCACTAAAAACAGTCACTGGCACTTCACAATTTGAAGGGGATGGGCAACAACCAAATCAGTGTCAGAAATCTTTCTTGCTTTTGCTCATCATGCCTGAATTTATCAGAAGAACCATGCCCAAACAAGATGTTTGTGGAAGACTGAAAATCAAGAACTGTTGAATTTTCGAAAGAATGGACAGAACCAGCTCCTCAAAATCAGATTGTTGTGTTTGAAGTAATGGCTTGTGGAACTCAAGAAATTCAACATAATTCAACAGATGAGAATTCTCAAGAAGAAGACATCATACAATCCTTTTTTACAAATTTTTTATTAAGGATGTTTACAATAATTTAAAGAAGAATTTATAGATTTACACTGAACTTCTTTAAAAGGAAAAAAACACAGTTTACTATAATCAAATCTTTTTGGATTTCTTTAACCTATCCAGTTTTACTTGGTAACAATGAATTGGTGGTTGACTTCTTGGATAGTTCTCTCTCAAGTATGAAGTTTTCGGTATAATTGACACTTCTTTTTACAGCATATGATTCATCTCCTCTGTAGATTCATCAAATCAATAAGGCACTGAATAGGCATTAACATACAGAAAAATATACATTACCAGTAATTGTTCCCACACCAATAATTATGTAAAGATTGCAGTTGTCTAATCAATAAGACAACTATATCTCATTAATTCTTGATATTTTAGATTTAGGTACCTCAAGGTTGAATGACTCTTTCTTAGAACAGACCATGGGATTTGTTGATGCAACTGTAGATAAATCAAGGTAAATCATTAGATATTAACTCTTTATGTCTTTAACTTAAATGATGTTACACTTGCAAAATTAAGCTTAAAGATATTAGATGCTCTTTTAGTTTTAACCGCTGGATGTTGACTTGATAAATTTGTTTTGAATTTTTTATCCTTTTGACCGTGATTACAGTTTAAACAAGGGTCAGTTTGTAAAAGTGTCTTTGCCTTTTAGCAAAACCAGAAAACACTTTGTAGCAGAGGTATTACACTGATAAGATTGTTAATTTAGTTGTTAATTTGATTAATTTTGTTTTCAGTTGTCAAATTTTAACAGTTTTTTAAATGTTTGTGATTTTTAAGTTGTCTGTTTATTTTATTTTCCAGCTGGCAGAATGAAAATGTCTGCTTGGTTGTCTGCAGTTTGATTGAAAGACAATATAATGCAATCATGTCATAAAACTAAAAGATAGCTTGCCAGGCAAGGTAATATACGCCCACTGGCAGCTTTGATTTTTAAGGAAAAAATTGTTACTGACAAAAAATCTTTTTTATCTTTTCAGTTTATTGAAATAAAAGGAGACGAATTTGTATTGTCGTGTATGGAAAATGTACGAGACGATGTATATAAATGGCCTTGTAAATGTGACATTACAACTGAACCTTTCGAGAATATTGTAGAAATTCATCTCTTGTATAGAAAATAACATTGATATTAAAAAAACGAGCAATTTAGAATTGACCAATATGTCCCATTACTGTTCATCACCTTTTGTCATTGTCTCATATTATCGGTATTTAAACCACTGAAAAAATATACATTGTAAGCTATTAGAGAAAACTAGGTCAAATCATTTAGAAATATAATTTGAGGAGTTATCTCCCGTAAAGATGAAATCATATTTTTTTTTATAGTAACATAAAGCTGTTTGCAGGTGCGCGTAACTGTTCATTATTTTCTTTGTTTTTTTTTTCACTACTAACAATGAAAAGTATTTTGTTTCAGTGATAAAAACGTATTTGTTTCAACCCAATCAGATTTGATTAAGCCCGATACGTATATGTTTCACACCCAAATCAAATCAGATTATGCTAATCGACCTATTTGTTTTAATTCTAACTGAAATCGATTAGCCTAATCGACCAATCTTACCTGCGAGGTGGTTTGATGGATTTGGTTTTGACTAGGCAAGTTGGCGGCTCACAGAGAACATGATAACTTGCGAGTACCATGTTTCCTAATGACGGCAGATATTTTCTAATCGGTTTTATAGACTATTTCTTATCGGATTTTTGAACTATTTCTATATTATATTTCTACCATAAGGTCCGCATAAAATTGCAACAGAAATTAGGTCATTCAAAAATATATGTTAAGAAGTTACCTGCAACAGACATGTGTTTTATTTTTTATCCTGTGAGTAGGTAAATCAAACCTGTCAAAACAAAACTGGCAACATATGACATTCGAAAACCTAAATTCAGAACAAGAATATAGCAAAATTAACCAAAAACAAAACTGATGACGTTAGTGGGGAAGTTTTCCAAATATCGTTATCCATTGCGGTAAGCATGGGTCGTAAATAAATAAACAGAATGAAAAACAAACAAACGATACTGAGGGAAACCTCACTTGCCTTTTTTTCCACCACTGTAAAACTTTCATCGTCTTCGGGACTGTTGACGTGTCCGTTTCCATACCAGATTCTCTATGACATCGCTATCCTCCGTTGATTCATTCTTGCTTGTATCATCCGTTAAAACAGTCATTAGCTCTGTATCTTCAGTTATAGAATTGAATTCTCTGGTGAAGAAAGAGTTACTTCATACTCTCTTTGCACCCAACTACGACTGGCAGACTCGACTTCTGCCTTCGTTAGAGCCTTCTTCACAGCTGCATATACCATTGAGTGACTGATGTTAAATTTACAAGAAACTTTAACATTTCTCTTTTCTATGTATCTGTCAATATTGTCATCCACAACCTCTATCGCCACCTCCGCAGGCATGATAGACAGCCAAAACTATCGAAAGTGAACTAACCAAAAACCAAAAGAAACACGGACGGGAACGATCAAGATTTCTCCCGTAAAAGGTAAGTAAGGTATTCTGAGCCACGAAACATATTTGGACTGGTATTATTCATTAACCCTCTATGACACGTACGTTATCTTCGTTTTCAGTCCAAGTCGATATTTGCCGTTAAACAAAAAAATTTTACCCCCAAGTCAGAAAAAAATAAAAAGAGCCAAAAACTCTTTGTAAGGCCCAAATCTCGCGAAAAAACGTTATCTTAGTTTAATTCTTGTATAACTATACAATTATGACGTCAGAAACAGTGTTATGGTGAAAAAATGTAAACAGGAAGATTGGAATGGACAAAACAATTTTAATTCGGGACTTACCCGGCCTGAAATGGCATTTCCCTGTCTAAAAGCAAGACCGCACAAGCCTACATATGAATAACGTTGCAACTAAGGAAGACAGTAAAAAAGGACGTCATAATAATGTTATTCACTCTTATAGTGCACAAGGTCGGGTTTTTAGTACTTGGCTGCGATATACGGCGGGTACAACTCTTGATTTACCAGGTGAGAGCGCGAACGCAGTCCCCCGCACTAAAAAAATTACGTACTCAAGTCACCCACATTAGGGGTGATCGCAGGGGTCGGCCTCCGCTAGGTGCAATTCAGAACCCTTCTTTTTATACGCCCACATGAAATGGGGGGCGTATATTGCCGGCCCCCATGTCCGTCCGTCGGTCCGTCCGCAATTGCTCGTAAACACTCTACAAGACACAATTCTTGATGGATTTTGACAAAACTTGGTATGAATGTTCGTAATCACCCAAGGATGAACCCTATGGAAATTCAGAAGAATCGAAAAATATTTAGTAAAAGTTATTGCCCTTGATCTTGAAAACGCGTTCAATTTTTAGCTCGTAAACACTCTAGAAGGGACAATTCTTGATGGATTTTAACAAAACTTGGCATGAATGTTCGTAATCACCCAAAGATGAACCCTATTGAAAATCAGAAGAATCAAAAAATATTAAGTACGAGTTATTGCCCTTGTTCTTGAAAACGCGTTCAATTTTTAGCTTGTAAACACTCTAGAAGGGACAATTCTATACAGATTTTGACGAAACTTGGTGTGAATGGAAAAATATTTAGTATGAGTTATTGCCCTGGTTCTTGAAAACGCTTTCAAATTTAGCTCTAAAACACTAAAAGTCATGATTGTTGCTGGATTTTGATTTTGGTTTTCTTATTCAGTCCTGCACTGAAATTGAATATTTGCTTTCTAGAGTGTTCACAAGCTAAAATTGAACACGTTTTCAAGAACAAGGGCAATAACTCATACTCAATATTATTCAGTATCGTCCTAACGAGGTCAAAAGAAGTGTATGACTGAAGATTGAATATTTCATACTGGTGATTGTAACTGTACTGATAAATATTTTTATGCAAAATCAAAGCTGCCAGTGGGCGTATATTACCTTGCCTGGCAAGCTATCTTTTAAACAAAAATTTTATTCAATTGAAAATATATACATTCAATCTACAAACAATGCCATAAATGAATAACGATGGCATTGTTATACAATGAATATTTACAATAAAACTATGGCTCTTTTAATAATTTTCCTTTATATACATCACTAATGCAAATCTATCATCATTTCTATTTGACCATATAATTAGCTTGTATATTACAAATAAAATTATTGATAACTTGCCAAATAGGGTGTACAAAACAAGAATAAAAAGCATGTTCAACCGTTTCAATTGAGTTACAATATTTACATAATTTCTCCATTGTCTACAATACAACGTCCACATGCAAGGAACAATATCATGTGCCATTCTCCATGCTAAATTCTTTGCATTTGGGTCTATAAAATTACAATGTACACTTAAAAAAATTTTAAAAGTTGGATTAGTGACATCCAATGGTTAATTTCTGATAAAATTCTTTAGTACTGTGATTCACTTTCCAATCAAAATTGGGATAATGAAAAATGAGATCTCTGGATTCATATGAATGAATTACAGCAAGCAATAATTGAATTTAGAATCTTGATAATATTATCATCAGGAGAAACATCAGTACCAAAAATAACACCTAAAATACGTTCTGAAGACGTCCATAAAACTCCATAGGTCTGATCACACACATATAAATTGCCAAAAGTAAGAACTTTAGTCTTAGACTTGAATAATCGGTTAATAAGGCACCAGAGCCCTGACCAAATGACTCATAGATGTCCAGAACTCTACCAACACTTGGAGAGTCTGAACATATACCCGTAACGTCATCGGCATAAGCTGAGACACGGGCCTCCTCATTAGAGCCAAGGATGGAAATTCCTCTAATATGCGTATCGAAAACGGCTCCAGAACTAAAACATAAATCGTGAGTAATAAATATCGCTCACAGATGGTTAAAACTACAAAATCGATTAAAACAAAATTGACTAGATATTACTTTCGTTAACATAAATGCAAGACATGAATGTAAAAAAATATACCCAAAATAAAAACTGATAAATCAGTTCCGAGTAGTGCGTAAAGCTGTCCATGACGTTTGTGAGGGGAATTGTCCAATTATCGTAATCCATTGTGGAAGGGAATGCAAAGACAGTTAATTTAAGAAAAATTCCCGAGGGATACCTCAATCGTTTCCTTAACTCTTGAAGCTTTCTTCGTTTCTACCACGCTAAAAACTTCGTCTTCTTCTCTTGCTCGCCTCGGGACCATGGTGACGTCAGTGTACATTCTTCGTCATCACTAGTTTCCGACCTAGTTGTAGATTCATCTTCCATAGTCACTTCATTATCTTTTCCATTTTCAACTTCTCCGTCTTCAGCCACACTATCCACCTGACGGCCTGATAGTTTATCAACATAAGAGGGAAGGTCGTTTCTTTAGGGCATCCCCCTCTCTTGTGCCCGATGCAACGACACCGGAGGCACAAGGGAAGGCGACCTCTTGCCGTTATTAGAGCCTTGCAGGTTCCATTATAAAAAGTTGTCATGTGCAGCACCTCGCCAAAGTTGTTGTGAGACAAAACCATGTATATCACTCTTATCCCATATCTAAAATCTTGACTCTCGGATAAACGCTCATAAATATTTAGTACCTTTCCAAATTGTGTAAAAATCTTCTTGAGGAAGGAGTCTTTAAAAGAACGGGGTAATCAAAGTACAGAAAACTGGTCTCTTCTCAGCTTGTTATTTCAGAACATTACTATGGTACCATCGATATTGACCGGGTCAGCTTCCCGCACTACTTTTAAGGGTAACTTTATTCTCTATGTGAAAAAGACTTACTGAGAGCTTCCACCTCTGTGTCACCCAACGACTTCATTACTGCCGTATAGACTAGAGCATGACTTATTTCAACTCTACACGATACTTTCACGTTGCGATCTTCTATCCCAGGATCAATATCATCATCG